CACAGACCCCTAGGGTCAGATCTTGCCTTTACCAACAAGTGGTTGACTGAGGTTGCCGAGAATGGCTCAAATACTTCAGCCAAGTCGTTGAGGTTTCAAGAGCACATGGATGGCTTGGAAAGGATCAATAAGTTTGACGAATGAGCACATGGATCACAATTCTATCGTTTTCAAGCGTGATCGTCCACGAAAGGCTGTGAAAAACGCATCCGAAATACGTCAAGACGCAACAGGTGGGGCTCTAAGTAGACCAGGCACAACTCATTCTTTAAGTCTTTGTACCCAGCTTGACTGTTCAAGCTGGGTGTTGACTGCTCTGATTTTTGGGGGGGCCCGGAGGAACCAAGAGCATTGGCACTTTGGTTTTGATGATTCTCTGCAAGACTCGTGCTGGGTTCGGGTTTGTCAACATGACACCTCAAGAAGCCTCTATTCTTGCATGGTTGAAGTGTTTGGGATCGTTCAAACAGATCTCGCCAACTCCACCAGCGGGCGCGGGTGAGACCCCCGCCTTCTTCGCCTCCAGAGATGGCCAGTGATGAAGAAATGCCTCCAGAGTGAGGGCACCCAGTGGAGAGAGAAGCGCCCGCAACATACGTCGCTGCTTCCCGACCCAACCGGAGCAGGCGTCACGTATACGGAGCAGCGGGTGGTCCGATGGTGTCGCCGGGCACGGAGCGAGGTCGGTGGGAGAGCGAGGTAGCTTGGAGAGGAAGCCCCTTATGACTTCGAAGACCATTTTACAAATGGTTGACCTGGTGTTTGTCATGTAAAATCCGGTAGTTGATTCGGTAAAGCCTATTAAATCTGTTAAATTAATGGTGGTTGGTAGCCTAGGGGAAGTTTCTCCACAACTTCTAGCGCGCCCTCCACAACTTCGAGCGTACCGCAGGGCCGTGATTTCAAAGGATGGACCACGTGAAACAAATGGAAGGACTTCAAATATCGACCACCAGTCATGGTCCTTATCTATAACGCATGGTGCGCATGGTGTGTTTTTTTCTTTTTTCGGGCTCGGGCTCGGGACCCCAGCCGAAGGCCAAAACGGAAGCCATGCCGCAGTCATCCTTCTAAGCCTCTTCCCCACGTTCCTACATAATGCCTGCCCCCCCACGTTCCGAAATCGATCTCGGGAACCATGCCTCGCTGACCGTGCCTCGATGCCCTCCACCGTGCCCAGGCGCTTCTTCAGTGCCAAATCCTCTTGGGCCTTGGACCAGCTCGCGGAGCAGAAGAGGCGTCGATCCAGTTCCTGGCGCTTCCCACAGTCGACCCGGGAGAATATCGCGTGTGACTTCTTCTGGTGACTGGCATATGGAGGGGGTTTGAAGGGGATTTATTCTAAACATCTTCTGAGCATATTAAGAGTTTAAGAAACGATGTGGCAGAGCTCGCCCCCACTGGGTAACCTGCGTGGGCCAGCAGGGCGTCAACTGGCGACGGGGCGATTTTGCGGTCTGTGGAACACAGACTCTGTTGATGGTTCGGTCCACCAGGCTGTTTGGGCTGCAGGAACCGACTTGATATGGCCACATGGCCCTGTAGAAGGGTCCTGGCCCTGGTCCAGCGTAGTCCAGCTGTCGACCCTGACGACCCTGACAAAGCACACCTGGGCACCCGCAGCACCTCGGCTCCATGGCCCTCCGCCGGCGCCGGTGCTCGGTCCGACCGACGGTGCTGAGTCGGAGGAGCGACTCGTCGTTGCAGGCGCCGGTGCCTTTGGTTGATCTTGGGGCATCAAGTTGCTGCCCTGCTGCTGAGCAGCTCGCCAAAAGGGAGGAGGTTTTGGGGAGAAAAAAAGCAAAGTCGATAGCACCAGAAACCCTGATTTCATGATATCATGAGTTCTATAAGAATCTTTAATAGATAGTGTGTTATAATGTTATAAAAGAATAGTTATCATTGCTGTATGGATTTGCAACGCGTTGGGTATCCCGATTTTTGGGCAGGGAAGACGACTTGGTTTGGTTATGTTTGGTTGCAAGGTTGATCACCTCCACGACTGCAGGGTGGCGTAGCGTCCAATGGAGAGGTTTACAGAGCAGCATGAGACGCAGCATCACTCGGGTTTCGAAGAAGCCGACCGGATGGACCGACCGGTGACCGGGAAGGACACGCCAGTCACCGGTCGAGGTCGGCCGACCTTCCCCCACCGATGCGCGCGCGGGCTGGGTCTCGGGGGAACACGACAGAGCTTTCTCAGAACAAACCACTTTCTTTTTTTTCCGGGAAAGGGCACGTATACCGTGTATACTGGCGTTTCTCTAGGGACCCTATAGGGATGATGAATTCGAAAGGCTTTCGATGTTTCAAAGTGGGATGGTTGAGAATTCATCCGGATCCGGTGAGGCCACGTGAGGCAGATCATCCCTGTTTGCGGAAAGACAGAGCTGAGGCAGTCTGACTCTCCAAGCGCGTCCGGAGTTGCTCAAAGCCAACGCCTTTGCCGTCGAGAGACATCTCAGCCACTCGGCAGTTGGGCTGTTTGGAGGCAGAGGGTGGTGGTGGAATCCCCATTCCCAGTGGATTCCAGGCAGCCTCTATATAATGACCAGGCCAGGGTATTTATGGTTTTAGGATGGTTTTAGGATGGTTTTAGGATGTTTTAGTGAATGGACACCACTGGTTACCAGCTGTAGTGGTAACTGGATTCCACTGGAATTGTTTTGGGCTTGCCGCTTGGACTGTGACTTGGGCTTGTGATGCCAACGTGGGTCGAAGCCCACGGTATGGTCCACCATGATCCATGAGAGACTCTTTCGACACCTGGGGTCTGATCCGCTGTAATCGGTCTCGGGTCGGGGTTCCCCCAAGAGGTCTGCTTGCTCGCTCATGTGCTTCACATCCCAAAAGGTCATGACACAGCAGTGAAGCACTTTTTGAGCACGTGGAGCAGGGCGCCGTGCTCTTCCGCGGGCGCGGTGCTCTTCCGCGTGACGCGTGGTCGAGCGGTCTGATTTGGGGAATGGGTCGTGACACACGGAGCCGGATTCGTCCAGTCCAACCAGTCGGTCTCCCAGTGCCATGACAGCCATTTGGGGTACAATGGTGTACATGAAAATTCGGACGACCTCAACTAAGAGCCCCCTGGAAGAAGAGAACTAGACCATAATAGACCCGTCCTACCCAGACTGGGCGTTCTGGGGGAAAAAACCCATACACCCGTTCCTCACCTCCATGTCGCTCGGACGCTCGGACGCTCGGTCGCGCCCAGACTGGGGTTCGGGCCTCGTGGCCTTGAGCGACCTCCTGCTCTCCCCGCCGTGCGACAGAGGGAGCGCGTGGGGCGAGGTCGGCGGAGCGACAAGGGCATCGCGACATTCGTAGCTTCTTGTTACTAGAGTACGTAGTGGCCTCCAACCTAATAGCGATGGCCTCCAACCTACTAGCTTCTTGTCTTGAACTTTGGGAGCGCCTTTCTTGGGGCTTCTTCGGATCAGACTGGGGTGGATGACCAAAAGGAACGCACGGCGGCTTGTCGAGAATTTTTCCAGACATGGCACTCATGGCACTGGTCGAGAGATTTCCCTCCATTTGAGCAAATATTTGATCCTATGTACCACTTGTTTTAATTAGACTATAATTTTTTGTGCGTGGAAAATAGATCGGCTCTCCAGTCTCCAGTCTCCATGAAGCAAAATGAAGACGGTCCTATGTTGGAGAGTCTCCTATGGCGTTCCTATATGTTCTTTGATTCCCTGCTGCTGACATCCCTGTGGACCAACCAAAGCCAAAAGGTTCGCGAACCGCTTCCCAGCTTGGTGGTGAATCCTGGTTTGAGCCATACTGACAAACTGACTTGCGCTCCCGGTTATTCAAAGTGACCGAACTGAATCTCCAGTCTCCATGAGGTCACTTACCGGCCTGGTTTTTCAGGTTCACAAAACAGACTCCCAAAATGATGACCTTTGAAGCAGCTGGCAAGCGGCTCGCCACGAGAAAACGCTCGTGCAAGTGGCTCGCCACCTGAGGATCTTGGGCGCGTTGAGCGATCGTGTGGGACGCAGGTGCCCCATATGCGCGATCGTGGCGACGAGCAAAACCGCCAACCCTGGAGCAGCCCATAGAGGGCCTGACCTGCGGCCTTGGTAATTGTGGGGATATCCCTCAGTGTTGAACAAGCAATTGTGGGGATGTCACTATGATAGTCACTGCATCCCCTCCGTGATCTTGGCGTTCGAGTGATCAGATCACTCTCTGCGAGAGTGATCCACTTCTCCTCGGTCACGGCGAAGTGATCCACCTGGGTCCACGGCTCAGGTCGGAGAGCTGTGTCTTGAATCAACTGGTCGGATTGCTTTTGGAGTCCCCTCATTTAGAGACCAAACCCACAAAAAGGCGGGTGAGGAGAGTGATGCTTTTTTTTTGCATACGTCAGACATACGTCAGAGATGAATGGTTCACTTTCAGACGCTTGCCTCTCTGCACATTGGTGGCTCAGTCTGTGAAACAGATGACCAGAGCAAGCCGCAGTGTCTCTGTTTGGACCCTTGGGCTAACCATTGAAACACCAGTTGAAGCGCATACTCTGCAGTTTGGTGGTTCTTGAATGCACATCATATATAATCATGTGTTTGGCAATCCGATCCTTTGATCCTTCTCAGAATCCTTCTCCTACCGACTTTGGATCCGTATTTGTTGTTTTCTACTTGCGCATGAGATGCTATGTTTGTCGACATGCAGTGACGTGGGTTGGGATTACTATGGACCCTTGAGATAGACTATGCCGATGCTGCGGCTGGGGTTCTCCCCCCCAACAGTGTCATGGGTTCCCATAGCTGCCATGGCTTTTGGGCGAAAATTGCACATCAACTACAGTCACTATAGTCAATATAGATCAATATAGTAATTAGATGTAATTAGTGAGGTCATTGTAAGCCTTCTTCAAAGAGGCTGAAAAGGGCGCGGACAAACCATTTCTCGCTCTAGACACACCACCGACGCCTCGATGCAGCTAAGCACCGGCGCCAAGCACCGGCAGCACCGGCGCCAGGCCACTGATGATCTCGCTGCCAGCTGTCCCGCTGCAGCAGTAACCGGCGCTTCGGGTTGGAGCGATCCGCGACGAACTCGTGGGTACCGACACCGACGCCACAGCTTCGTGGCCTTAACGGAGGATCATCCATTGGGACCTCAATTCGTAAACAGAATAGGGGCGTCTCCGCCCGTCTCCCTTCTGTCTCCTTTCGTCTCCCTTCTTGTTGGTCATTGTGTCTGCCTTGTCTCCCTTCTTGTTGGTCCCTGTGTCCGCCTTGTCTCCTGTCTCCCTTCTGTTTCCTTTTGTCTCGCTTCTCGTCTCCCTTCTTGTTGGTCTTTGTGTCCGCTTGTCTTCCTTCTTGTCCCCCATGTCTCAAAAAATTGACTTGGGAATGCTTCTTTGTTGTCCCACCTGTTTGGGGTCTACGGTGGTGTAATTTTCATTCTTGTCAAGTTCTGAACATACCATGGAACCATGTTTTCTTGTTACAAGAAAAATGTTTGGAAGTTTTTGACAAGCTCATCTCCTAAGAAAACGGGACAAACATCAGTCCATTTGTCTCCAACGTGGTTGAAGAGGAAAAGAGCTCAATGTTCACATCAGCAAAAGGAACTAACGAACCGTGGTGCCAAACCAATGAAGCAATCAGAGTCAGGCCTTTGCATGCTCAGAATTCTACCCTCTGCTCCGCTCATGCTCAGCTAAAAGTTGATGTTTCTTTCTTAGGCGTCGAAGTGGAGGGGCGTCCAACTGGAGGGTCTCTCTCGCCATCACACCGATGGACCATGAAGAGAACGCCCTCCGGTGATGTTCATTCCTACACTCCAGGGCATGCGATCGGTCGGTCACACAGACCGCGGCAAGCGGAAGCTCGCGTCTCTAGGTACTGAAGAGTCTGTACCAGTGGTGGAAGGGAACCACTTCAGTCTGTTGGACCTTTGACTCTTGAGGGAAGAGTCTACTGTGGGACAGTACAGGTGAGCCCGACAGGAATGTGCTGGATTGACTATCCTTCATATTTTCTTATTGTCATTGCCTATACAGGGAAAGGCTTGAACCCCTCATGGATGAGAGAGCAAGAGAGGGAGAGTGTGTGAGTTCCATGCTACTATCTTCGACTAGTCGGCTTGCTGATGGGGTCATTACTTTGAGTATCTTTGAGTGGATGTGAAACCACTGTCCTGTCTACCAGATCGCACGCGGTTTGTTTGCTTGATACTATGGGGATTATGATAGGGTCCGAGTCAGCCTTGGCATGTGTTCGTTGGCAACCAGGATCCACGATGGAACATGGGTGAACATGTGGGTAGCTATGGGTCCCTGGGTTCAATCGAAGTGGAGTCATGCTTTCACTATCCGCGCAAAGTGGCAAAGTGTCTTGTCGGAACATCCCCCCAGAAATCCTCACTGTTCCCAAAGCTTTCAGTGGCCGCAAGTCTGACTTACTCTTCGCCCATGTCAAGACCCGCGCATTAAGATGTATTAAGTCTGGCAAGAGGCCGGAAGGCTAACAGGACTCTGCGACTCATGACGCGGTTTTCATGCTTAGCCAACTTGCATTCTTTGAGAAAACCGCTAGGCAGTTTGGCGGAGGGACGTGTTCATGTTAAGAAGCCAGATGTCCCCCTTGAGCTTGCCCGCTGAACGCCCAGATCACCTTGCCACTGAAGCTGCTGGCCGCAAAGTTCCCAACCCCGCGGATCTTGCAGCTGGACAGGGCACGGCGTCTCAAGGGGATGGAAGAAAAAGGGTTCCAGAAAAACGTCCACAGATGTGCCCCAGTTTGACCAGCGCAGCCTTCTGACCATGCAGTCAGTTTGTACACATGAAAAAGAAGTCATTTTGGCGGTGTCAGGGCAAGCCGGTCTTAAACTCAAACTTCGTCCGGGAAAGCTATCCCCTTGACTTTTGACCATTGCATACTGGGTGCATGAGCCCGAGTGGCTTTCGAGGATTGCCACCCAGCTCAACCTTCAATTTTCCGTACATAAGATAGACAGTTTTTTCATGCCCTCGTGCCAACACAGCCAGCGCCTGAAGAAGTGCGAAAGTGGGCCATGTCTGGTTACCTTCTATAGAGGGAATTGGAGGGGGAAGGCAATGCTGTTCTTTGTAAAACTTACCAAAGGCTCTACAGACACTGCCCTCAAACAACTTTAGTTGCTGATTCTTTCAGTGCCGTGGCTACAAACTTCAGACCAGGCGCCCCTCACAATGAAACAACCGTTTTCTTGAGGGAACTACAGGCCTACCCTGGATCGCAAGCCCAAGTATACATCTGAGGATCATTGCATACCAAGACTACGGTTCGCCCGGTTCGGTTGTTTCCGACCATGTTCACACTTGGATCCGGTTGAACATGCGTGGATCTGAAACCCATCGCTGGGTTGACCGTCCTGCTACCCGCCAGAAGCAGCGCCTCCCTCGGCCAAGGTGTTGGGCGACTCCCTCCGGACGCTCTGCGGCACCACAATGACGATGTCCTCCCTGGCAGACTTATACCAAGGACCGCAGCTGGTGAATCTGTTGATTTGGGCTGCGCCATGTCGCACATTCTTCCTGTGAGGTCTCCAAGTTTCGATCTCTATAGTTGGAGTGTTGGAGTTTCATCTCACACCTCAAATCACCCATGTCCACCGTCGGGAGACACATGATTTCAAGCTTTCCAGGGGGCATCTCGAAGAAGCTTTTAAATGCGACACATGTCTTTTGGGGTTGGTTGGAGAACAAGAAGATGGGTGGAGAACAAGAAGACATGACAGGTAGAGGTGGTAGAGGGTAGATTCCAGTCTTCTAGCTCGTTCAGGTGTGTACAGATCCAGCGTTTGTGTAAACCGGAAACCCCAAGCCCAACACTCGGTGATATGTAAACTTTGGACTGGAGTCCTGGAGCGGGGACAACCCAACCATAGACTTGACCGGTCCAAACCGGGTGATCCTGTGGCCGGTTCCCACCGCAGATATGACTAGAATAGACGCCCCCAGAGATGGTCAACCTACCAAAGCTGAAACATGGCGTGTGATTGAACGACCATTTTACCATATTTTAGACATGTATATAATACCATGCCATGCACTAAACAAAATGCATGTACAAAAAATGCCAAGATCAGTGCAAACTCTTCAACCTTCCTGCGATCTTCGACTTGGAGACCCTCGCAGGGCAGAAGTACGCTGCGGCCTTGGGCTTCTTGCAGACAGCCACAGGCGCGCCCGGCGGGCCACCGAGGACAGCAGCATCGTCTGTAGTCGCCATGTGGATTTCGTCCATCCGCCGGTGTCGCGAAAAAAGGCGATTCTGTGGGTTCGCATGCAGCTCCGAAGATTCACCATCTGGAGACCATTTGAATGAGTTCTGTACGATCTGAAGTTCTGAAGTCACTCAGCCAAGCACCTGAAAATGGTGCTACAGAGCAACACAACTATAAACGCAGGGTTGCTTCAATTAACGGAAGGTTGCTTCCAACCATTTCTTGAAACTGATTGATGCACCTTGCGAAACCTGATACATGTCGTATGTATTCACTGCCCTCCCAAAGATTCCCTGACAACGATCGGCAAACCTTTGGCGGATTTATGCCATAAAGCACCACCCAACTCCACCCAACTGGTATTGCAGCCAGTATCTTAGAATTGTCACTGAGCTGCTGTAAATACTTTCATATCATTCATCAGTTCCACTTTCTTGTGGACCATGATCATGCAGTGAATCATGCAGGTGACAAGAACCAGAATTCATTCAGTTGGGAGTGCCAGAAACCGCAACCGGGAACGCCTAGCTCGATGTGCAGATCGTCCAGGCGTTGGACTGGTGCTGGGCCCTCAACTGGCTGCTCGGTGTCCAACTCCGGACGCGGTTTCCTCCGGGTGGATCACCGGTGCCTGAAATCCCACATTGGATCACCGGTGGACCACATGGGTCCAAGTCTTTTTCTTTGTTATTTTCTCTCTACCAGCACATAGCTTTCCATCAAACCTTCGCTTCTTTCCCAAGATCCCACATGGATCTCACGAAGAAGTGGGACCAACTGGACCAACCAGCTCCCCCATCCTGCCTTTCTCGTTTCGGGGCTCTGCCCTTTCGTCCACCGAGTCCAAGCTGCTCATGGGCACCGGCGGCCAGCGGCCGCGGCTCTGCTTCCTGGCGGCCGCCGCACTGGCGGCGCTGCATCTGGCCTTGGCGCAGCGATACCTCGAGGCGCGAGACGCGCGAGGAGGCGCGAGGAGGCGAAGCGCGACCTGCGGGCGGTGGAGTGTGGGTGCTGGGTTGAGTTCTAGGGGCAGAGGGGTACGCGGAGCGAGACGGGGGGGGCAGATCGGGAAGATGGAGATGGGTTGGACCTGCGGGCGGAATTCGGGATCTGGGCAACATATCGCCTCGGTTGACCATATGTATGCAGCAGTGTTTTCAACTTCAGCCAGCAGAATTCCGGTCGACCACCGGCCCGAGGCCAGCCGTGCCGCGGGATTACGGCCCAGCCCAGAGCAGGTGGACGTCCATGACTCTCAGTGGCTTATCTTGTTTCCTTATCCAGACACTCCATAGGACTGCCATATATGCCTACATTGACACCCCCCCAAACCACCCCAACTGATCGGCATATATGGCAGTCCCATTAGTCGTGTCTGGGTTATCCAACATGACGTTCCACTGGTGGACCCCTTTGCAGCGGACACGGAGGAGGTGAACATCGGGTACCACGCCAGTAGTCGTGAACGATCCATTGAAGTCCGGAACGGGGTGCCCGCTTTTTTCGGAGCTCGGGGTTGCCAGGAGACGAACGAGAAGCTTGCAGACAAAGTTGACGCAAGCCAGGGGCTTGGGTGTGACCGGTTTGTTGCGGATGTAGACAACCATCGGAGGGAATCCAACCAGCAACATGAGTTAGCGGACCTCTCGTGAACTCTGAAGCATGCACCTCTCGTCAATGTGGGTCGATAAGGCTCTTATTCCTTGGTCACTCGATTAGGTCAATGAGTTCATGGCACCTCTTGCGATCCCATGAACTCCTGCAGCATAACATCAATTCTGGGTAGAGTTGGAGTTCTGGTTCTTGCATGTTCTTGTTGCTGCTGTTGTTCTGAAAAACATGCAAAGCCCGATCAGTCTCAAAGTCTTCCATTCCCCCGCGAGAGAGAGAGAGAGAGAGAGAGCAACGGTATACCCATTGTTGATGTACTTTGAGACTGCTACCGAGAAAGTGAGCTGCTCACTAAGAGACAAAGACACCTGTTCAGTGGGGGGTATGGCTCCCAAGCTTGGACCTGCCCACTCCCACGATGCCCTGTCCTCTGAGCGGCGGCGATCAAGCTCGGGTGCTCGTCCAAAGACCCTCGCTGAGGTCCGGCTCGTGAGCCTTCAGGACGACATGCCACGAAAAGGGCGCGGAACACAGCGCGGCACAGGGTGTGCACCATGTTTTCTTCGTTGAGACCCTGCATGGCTGCTGAACTTAAATTGTTAGTTTTTTGGATGCTTTTTTGGCAGATTCAGAGAGTGAGCACCATCTCTTGAGGGACCAGAATGACACATGAACACTTCTCTCATTTTATACCTCCTTCAGTTGTGTTGTTGTGGATCTAGTTTGGAACCTGTGACAGGTTTGATTGTGTTTTGTTTCCCTTTTTGCATGAGAACACTTTTGAGATATGTTATGTTTCTTTTACGCGTCCAGTTCATGTCATGTAGGGCTGGGATGTTCGACTTAGGCGAAGCATACCCCGAAGCATACCCTCTGAAAACGCTGCTACTTTAGTCTTCACACTGCGCGAAGCATACCTCCGAAGCATACCCCATACGTACTCAAACATCCCGGCCCGGGCACGTCAAGAATTTACAACCCCATTTGGCCACTTTGCCACCTTTTGAATCCTTTTGAGTACTTGTTCTTCCTGTATTTAATGTTTCTTCAGGATGCCTCAGGTGTCTCTCACGTGTTTGACTTTGGATTGCTGTGGACATTAGCTATGCAATGCCAGTGATTCATGCAACTACGTCTCTCGAAGCAAAAAGTCTCCCACACAACACAATCTCTGATGCTGAAAAAGGCTGTGGTATTTGCATGCAGAGGGCATTGACATATTCGGCCTCCTCTTTGAGCTTGAGACACAGGATGGCGCAGCATCATCACCCGAAGTGATGATACCAGGATGGCGCAGGTCCCCACAAAGAGTTGACCGCGGCAAACTCACATGGACCCTTATCCAACCGCTGGTGCAGCGACCGAGGAAAGCAGTCGGACCCTGGGTGCCATTCGACCCGGGTCCACGTGGGTTCTCGGGAGTGTAATCAAGAGCATTACTGCCCGGAAGCAGTCGCACGGAAGGAGCCATCAAGTGAAGGTCGCTGACGGATGCCGGAAGGCGGATCGTACTCCGTATACAGGCTTTATGTATGTAGTAGGCTATGTCGTCCCGGGCATGTGGCTGGACTTATCATATCTATCATTTGATATTGCTTGGGCATCTAGATAAAGTATGGAATGGACACCCCGAGCCACACTCTGACATTGGTATTCAGTTACACTCAGTTCCCTCGTTGGGAAGGAAGGTGATGGAACGGCAAGGCGAAAGAGTCCGGTGATTTGAATTGTTGAAAAAATGTTTCACTTGCGCGGCTAGCTGCAATGCACAAGCGGCTGACTGTTACTCTCCGGTGGCTGAGAACTGCGGTGGGAAACCTGTTTGAGGGGAGAGTATCGTGATCAACAACCATGGCATCAACAACCATGGCATCAAGACACAGCAAGGAAAAGTGGGGTAGTGTCACGAGCAGGTACACGGAAGTGATCAGCTTCCGCTTCCTAGGATCTTGCAAGGAGCTTCGTTGGGCAGAGCCTTGCAAGTCCTCTCTGCCCCCCTGCTTTGGAAAATGGTGGTGACGGTAACCATGGCAGTGAACCCTTTGGCACAGGGGGTGACACACACACGGTGCCGCTTCGCGGCGCGCATGTGGAAAACCTAAATAGTCACCTAAAAAGCCTTAGAAACAAGAGAAAAGAAAGACAGAAAGAGCCGCGCTAAGAGGGCAAGAAAGAAAGATAGGTGTAGGAAAATGAATACTTAGCCCTTGACTGGGGTAGGGAAAGGAGCCTCAAGAACAACCTAAAAAGCCTGAGAGAAAGCCCAAGAAACGACCGAAAGCGTAAGAAGGAAAGCGGGGGGCAGGGAAGTGTATGTACATGTGTGTGTCCGTGTGTGTGTGTATGAATACTTAGCCCTCTAGAGTTACTGATTACTTAGCAGAAATGAATTACGTGCAATAGCTAGGGAGCGAGACTTTAGTCTTAGACCGCCCGGGTAGGAAAGACTAGAAAAGGAACAACACAGGGAAAGGCACCGACACACAAGTGTGTCGAGTACCATTTCCCTATGTTGTCCTAATTAGGTAGGGAGTAGAACTCAGCTGGGGGGGGGGTGGGAAACCTGCCTCATTGGGGGTAGAGTACCGTTTTATAGCCCGGCGGCTGACCAAGTAATCCCGTGTTTAGGCCCGGCGGCCGTTGAGGCAGTTAATTCGTTGGAAGTGGAGGTGAATTCCAGTGAAATTCCGGTGAGCGGTGGTGAGTTCCGTTAATGATTTCCCAATGAAACAGCGCCCCAGTGACGGGGATCACACTCAGCACCCGAGTGGGACGGCTGAGCGAAACACACTCTGACATTGGTATTCAGTTACACTCAGTTCCCTCGTTGGGAAGGAAGGTGATGGAACGGCAAGGCGAAAGAGTCCGGTGATTTGACTTGTTGAAAAAATGTTTCACTTGCGCGGCTAGCTGCAATGCACAAGCGGCTGACTGTAACTCTCCGGTGGCTGAGAACTGCGGTGGGAAACCTGTTTGAGGGGAGAGTATCGTGATCAACAACCATGGCATCAAAACACAGCAAGGAAAAGTGGGGTAGTGTCACGAGCAGGTACACGGAAGTGATCAGCTTCCGCTTCCTAGGATCTTGCAAGGAGCTTCGTTGGGCAGAGCCTTGCAAGTCCTCTCTGCCCCCCTGCTTTGGAAAATGGTGGTGACGGTAACGATGGCAGTGAACCCTTTGGCACAGGGGGTGACACACACACACACACATCTCGATCACTTGTTTTCCCTTTGGTATGGGACCGGACCCTTTTCGAGATGCTGTTTCCTGCAGGATCCATCCTCGCGAACATCAGCGGGATGTTGGGAATCCAGGAGAGGGAAGCAGGGCGGTGCTTTTCTCATCACGAAGCAAGTGCAGCAGAAAGGTATATTAGTGTGAAGAAACGGGGCTGATTTGGCACCTGTCCCAGGGACGTTGGCTTCAGAGGGTTGCTCGAAAATCATGATACACCGTTACACCATGAACTTTTGGAATTGTCAAAGGTAGAAGAGGGAGTTCCCAAGTAAAGCTGTCAAAGCAACTGCACTGAGACATGAGAGCTTCTCTTTGCACGTTTCCCATTGTTCCCCCAGCTGTGTGCAGTTTTTGTCGGCTCCCACGTCTCCTGCATGGTCCCCGCTGCAGGACTACCGCGATTCCGTGGCCCTAGCGACTAGGATGGGATGATCCCGAACATTGGACCGGTAGACCAATGAATTTGAGGCAGTTGAATGCTGAAACACGTTATTTGTGGAGATGTTTTCATGATTCATTCTCCCATCCAAATTCGTTTGCTCCAACCAGATTCAGTGAATAGAACATGTCCTGTCAAATGTCAATTGGTTATATAGGTCTCCATTGGACACAGATTGGGAAACGCTAGGTCCCGCTAGAGGTGTATTCTATAAACACCTCTCTCACCAGTGAATCGCCAGTTTTGCTTCTTCTGAGACACCCCGACGTCGTCCTGAACGATGACTCCGGATCCGATCTGACACCGACAGTCGAGCGTGTTTGACGCGCCCACCGCTCCAGTCGGTCGTCACCAGTTCCTCAGCGCTCCGCCGACAGCTGTCCCGGACAGCTGTGTCCAGAGGCCCGACAGCTGTGGCGGCGTGGGGGAGCTCTGCGGCAGCGGGCGATGCTCTTCGTGCTGCACTGCTTCGTGGAGGGCAAGGCACGGTGACGGGACCGACGGGGAGGGCGGTGGCGATGTTTTCCTTTATAATTACATTTGGCATCCTTTTGTTGTGCTTGAGGGTCTTGGAGCAGAGATTTGTTGGATGTCTTTTAACTCTCTAAGGACTCTAAGGCATGCGGCATACTTGTATTTTCCAGATAGGCTGAAGTGGCGCGGGTGCGTCATGGTGCGTGCGTCAGGGTGTCTCTTTCCGGCGTCAGGGTGCCGGTCTACCGGCCGCCCGGGGCGCGTTCAGTGTCGTCAGGTGATTCAGGATCAAGTCCTGGCTGTTCAGATGATGGGGCCGAAAGAAATGGGCTTGGAGCATTGGCAAGCATGGCAGGCGGGATGGAAGATCCGAACCAAGAAACACGGGAACGGTCAACCGAGGTCGCGGGTTGGTTTTACGGTTTAGGGTGACAAAGAAGGGGTGGTCTGGAAGAAACCACAGGATGCATCAGGATTTATTAGTTAACAACACCCACATAAAGCGGTTTTGCATTCCAAATGGAGAGTTAATCAACAGTCTGCACATTAGTGGTTGAGCTGCTATTTTGTGTGCCGTCATTGACCTTGGGGCCTCTGCACCATCCATGAGCCCCTTGGGTCGACGGAGAGATGTTTGACAAGTTCTGCGAAGCAACTCACCTACATGCTGTATGAACATCAGCATTCATGCTTCATGTCATTGACTCAACTGGATCCAATTGAACTTTTCCGGGACATATTCGATCATACAGTACATGTCTCTTCCAATGTCATCCATTTCTCTTCAACTGTCCCGGTCTGAACTTTTCCGGGGATACGTTTGAGTCAATCCCAGTGCATCCCAGTTACCATTATATAAGGAACCAGGGATTCTAGGTCTATGGATGTCTATGGTGTTAGTCTTTGGAACCACTGGTTACCAGCTATAGTGACTTGCCTGGATGCCCTAGGAATGATCATCCAGTTGAATTACTAATTCTAATTCAATTCTAATTACAGTAAACGTAATTCTAATTACTTCTAATTCTGTTTCTAATAGCTTCTTGTTACTAGTAGTAAGGCCAGGAGCCCCTAGTAGCTTCTTGCTCCTAGTAGTATGGCCAGGAGCTCCTAGTAGCGTCCTTATGACTTGCTCCGACTCCCAATCTCCCATCCCAAATCGCCTCAGCTCTCGAAGGCAGGTCGCCGGGACAACTGGAGCTCGGCGCACGGCGCTGTGTTGTCGGCCGGTAGCTTCTGTGGACCTTTGGTGAGGCGCGCGCCCCTGGGAGTCTCGCTTAAACCAAACCATGCTCAAGGCTTACACCATGGCCCGAAGAAAAGGAATTTCAATGAATTTCCTTTGATTTTTGGTGGTGCCAAAAAAGTCGACGAATTGGACTTCTAGGGTACAGACATATCGAAACATTGGTTTTCCTTCCAGGCTGCGGCTGAGCAGTTGGACACAGCGGCATCAGCTTCGGGTGTTTCCAGCTGTTGCCACTGGGCCCCCCGCAGTCCACAGTGGAGACATGATTCGATTTACGGATCCAACCCCAACTGCCCCCGAAGTCTCTCAGATCTTCTCTTATCCTTGCCACACTCTGGCTTGGGGTTCTTGATACCTCGGGTCAAGTATTTTAGCCTCTCTACGAAGCCTCGAAGAAGCTGCCACGCTGACGTTGGTTCTTGGTTCTCAGGCACTATGCAAGGATTTATGCAGCAGGCTACAATGATTTGTGGTGTTTAGTTATAAATACCCAAAGATTATGGTTGGAAAAACTTCTGCACCAGTTGGGATTTGGGACGTACTGGTGCCCACATGTGCCTACTAACTGTGAGAGACGTTTCGGGAGAGCACGGACAAGGGTCACTGCCTAACACGGTGCAGCCGCCTTGGTCGTTTTGGAGATGCAAGATTGATGGGTCCAGCCACCCACGTTTGTCATGGCTCTTTGGACTTCATAAGGCGCTGTTTTCGGACTTTCGTACATGTTTCGTCCTTTTCTCACGGCCTCCGAAAAGGTCTCGACTTCTGCCGCCGCAACCGCCGTGCGCGCCTCTCCCGCCGCGAGAAGGGAAGTCCATGCGTTTTGACTGGTCGGGTTTATTCGGCTTCGCCGTGTCAGGCGGGTGGGAGACGAGAAGTTCCTGCTGGCCTGCCATTTGGCCTCCTTAGGGGCCTTCCTTTGGTTCAAGAGGCATGGGGGGTGGTGGCAACCTGAGTGAAGTCGCGGGCGAAGGCGCGAAGAGATGCGAAGAGGATGGAAGCTGGTGTTGCCAAAGGGGAAGTTGATTGAGCTGGTTTGGGTGCAGGGCTTGGGCCTGGGTTTGTCAGATCGGAATGCAGACTACATCATACTACAGTGGACATTTTTGGGGCTGAGCTGAACCTTTAGTTTTCACTCTTTTTGCCACGGAATTCCAAAGGAAAGCAAGATTTGTGATTTGCCCAAGCTCCAGTCGTCCAAGCTCTCCCTGTATAGCGTGTATAGCTGAGTTTGTTCTTGCGGATTTCGCGGACGCCCGGACTCACACGTCCCCGCAGGTGTCTTTCATCTTCTTGCATCATATGGATGCGGATGTGGGTAGTTCCCATTCCCATTCCCATCGCACCCTGAACAGAACCATGGACAGCTTGCCGTTTCGTCCAGTCGTCCCGGCCACGGATCCCGTCGGACGAGAACATGCGGAGGATTGCGGAGGAGCGGGCACGAGGCGATGGAGGAGCGGAGGAACTGGCGAAAGACTCTCATGGAGGAACTGCCATGAACGGCCAAAGGCACCATGGCTTCAGGGCCTGCCCCGAAGGCAAAGAGGAGAGTTACATACTGTAGGTCTCTGAATGACGGATGTTTAAAGACGTGTGAGTGCCGTGGGTGCAGTGCACCCCGAAAATTGAAGTGGTCCTCGTCTTTAAAGACCTTCGCGCTGGGGGCTTCGTCTCAACTCAAAGCAAATGCAGTATAACGATTCCATCCTCGCTGATGTGTTGACCATTGGTGTCCAGTTGAGCGGCATCCAGACAGCTCAGCGGACGATTTTCGTCCTATAATTGTTACCCATCGCTATCCTTGGCATTTCACCTAATTGGTTGGATCGGATCCTTTTATGGAGTGGGGGTGCAGATGGGACTGCCGCGAGACCGGGTGACCTTCTCTTCGGAACAGTTCTTGTCCGGGAAGGTTGTTCCAGCTTCGATGGGCATCCTGTTAAACCGTGTGGCAGTTGTTGCTCTCATCAAGATGAGCGAATGCACTGCCATCCAGGTGTGAGTACTTCACAGGACGACTTTTTGATGATAGATTGTTTGTGACATTCCCTTCATGTGGACAATATGGTGGACGTAAGTGTGGAGCGGCAGACCTTTCTCCGATGTGAGGCTGTGAATAACATTTGAATTGTTTCATTTCCGCGAGCGTTTGGACAGCTCTGGCCGCCATTGGACATGTTCCATCTTTTTTTCAGGATGGTTGAACCAGGGTGAGAAGTGTGAGGACTGCTGCGCACCCTTTTGGTTCTTCCTGGGTGATTGTACGCGGACTGCTGCCTGCTACCATGGGTGCTCTCACCCGTGCCTCCTTCTGATATCTGATCCTGAGTGTTCGGTGTTTGAGATGACGTTTCGCGGACTGCTGCCTGCTACCATGGTGCTCTCACCCGTGCCTCCTTCTGATATCTGATCCTGAGTGTTCGGTGTTTGAGATGACGTTTTGCGCGAGTGGTAAAAGCAGAATGATGGTGGACAACTCTCATTTTTTCTGGATCCGGATAATTCTGGAGTTCAGGCTTCAAGTTTGTTTTCCTTTCTTTTTTTCACACCCCGAATTTGGTTTCTCTGTGCAACTTTAAGCATGCTATTCTCCAGAGCCTTTTTGGCAATGCTTGTACGGTTTCAATGCTGTTCAGACCACCTGCCCACCGCGCTCCCTGTCCCTGTGCCAGGCTTTGGCTTTGGAGCGGCCTTCTGCCGCTGCTGCTGGGCTCGCAACGGCGCCTCATCTCGGCCAGCTGGCTGCTGCAGGAGGGTCTCAAGGGCGGCTTGCAGCGGGGGCAGGCGAGAGATGAGGGCCATGTTCTGGTTGATGTTTGTCTCAATGGCAGGCGTCGGGATGTCGGATGTCCGGCCAATTTTTTGTTTTTTTGACATACATGATATGATCATGTACTTGTATTTGTATCATGTTGTATCATGTTTCCTTGTGCAGAATTCCCGTATTGTTACAGTACAGGGTTTCCACACACAGGAAGTTGGCCGGCGTTGTTTCTCTCGATTCATTCGATTCCATGATTCCATGTCTCAGCTCAAACCTCAGGGCTTGTGTACAAGACCATCCTTGAAACAAGGGACTGTTTTTCGGTTTGGAACAGAAGTGATGCAGAGTTGTCCATCCTGGGGCAGAGTTTCTTGTCTCCAAAGAACCTTTGACAACCAGTTCTCTGTGTCGAACGACGACTCGCAAAGTCCAAAGCTAAGCGAACTTCGAAGCCTCCAGGGAACTTCGAAGTCAGAAGCCTCAGGGGGGGAGTTCTCTTTTCGACTTCAGAACCTGAGCGTATTCGACCACCTTTTTTGGACCAATCGGTGTTCCCACATGGGATGTGGAATTGGGAGGGTCCCCCATCCAGACCCCTCTGAGCAAAGGAAAACATTGACAAAAACAAAAACCATCAAAACCCCATGGGTTGTGGGTCCACACCCAAATGAACAAAGACCATCAAAGACCTCATTCTTTGTTTCCTGAAGCCCATCGTTCTGGCCTTCCATTCTTAAAAAACGTCCTCTCATCACTCAGCAAATATAGGGATTTTTGAGAAAGTTTTTGAGGATTCCAAACTTTCGATGGTTGATGGAGTTCGGAAATAATCAGATTGGGTAAAGACCACCGGAGCGGTGTTTTCTCTCCGGAGCGGTGCTTTCGGAGGTGGTGGGTCTCATGGCCACGCTCCGGGCCTTCTCTGAGGCCAGGTGAGCCAGTTGTGTTTTTTGTGTTTCAGTTTTGGCGTAGATATGAACACAGTTAAGTTATATATATATATATAAAGTTATAATACTTGTAACATATCTATTTCAGGGCTGAAGGGGCCATCCAGGCCGTCTCTATCCGGGCCAGGGTTCCAGGGAGGCTTTGGGATGCTCATTGGGATAGGAGCTTCTGGGAAGGCTGCTATTCTTTGGTTGGGAGGTGGAGATGTGTGTATGGGGTGTTAGCAGTGACCCCAAACAGATGGTCCACGTGTGTTACCCACTAAGAGTTGCATGTCCTTTTGTGCAGCACTACATACACAGCCTGAAGTATATTTCTGCCAGGGAAGCTACCTGTGTGAAGGTAGACAGCTTCACCGCGCACAGACTAGCGATGTGAGTTTGGGTGAAAGATGGTGAAAGCAACAACCCTGGTTGAAAATTCTTGAAACGTTTGCCTGGAGCGGTGACATTTGGCCATGGAAGCTCACCCTGGGTTTTTCGGGCAATCGGGGCAATCGGGGCCGCCATCGTCCAGACCGCGGAGTTCCCAGGTCCCACTCGCCACGTGACTTGTCCAAATCATCCGCCCGGACAGGTCGGGAGAAGAGACATGTGGATGTGTATTTTACAATAGGGAGACACCCCATTGCCCATGGGTAACTTGGCCTGTCTTCCTTGCGAACAAAGGGGGTCTTCCGTGGGAGGTCTCCCTATTTCAATACACACCCAGGTCATGGTTTTTTCTAGTTTTGAACTTCCCCGGTCCTTCGTTGGGAATGGTTCTTCCAATGGGATCAGATGGGATGGTTGAAACGCCAGCCGCAGCCAAAGGAGCGGAGTCTCCAAGAGATCAATCCTGTCACTTGAGCTGGTGCAGGTTTGTGCCTCTTGGCTCTTCAGCAACAGCTTCAAGCTGATCAAGAGGAGGCAGTGGTTGCCTGTGTGGGACCCTAGTTGGAGCGAAGTTGGACTCATGGACATGTTGGAATTGCTCAAGAAGTGTTCCACCGGAGGAAAAGCTGCAGGCTACTTGGTATATCTTGGTAATACGAGCCAAAAAGAATCATCACTATTTTGGTGGGGAGCATCCCACACATGGCTGTGCCAAAATGGAAGATGTGTATCGGATTGTATCGCTTCGATTCTGCGCAGGCCACAGACCTTGAGAATGCACAGACCTGGTTTCAAGGGGGCCATTTCAGTGATGCACTTGTTTGGTGGAGACCTTCGTTTTCACGGAATCTCCGGATAGAATTTGACAGTAATTCCGATGGCACTACTGTACATGAACCCAACAGCTTGTCGTCCGTGTCTTCCACCTGGTTCAATGCTGACATGGATGGTCACACACCCCATACTTGGATGGTCAAACATCTCGAACAATTGGAGGGGAGCGTTCAATCAGTCAATATGAGTCTATCGATGTGCATCGGTTGTTTGGATTTGTTTCGCTTTAGCCCCTGCCCAAAGGCTTTTCTTGCCTCCTTGCCGCACATGGAACCCATGGAACACACTTTTTCGCCTCCCAACGTCGTGGGGTGCCATAACAGCTCCGTTGTCATGACTAACTGAGGCCCAGGTCTTTTATGTGCCGCTCCTGGGCGAGAAGGTGAGTATGAGGAAATGGTTGAATGGGAGGAATCAACTGGAAAACTAAGTAGGCTGCAGTCTTCTTTGGTTTGTAAAAGCTCAGTTGGCTATTTAAAGGGTTGGTTTTAGCGAGTGCAGCATAATTAAGGCTTTTGCACAATATGCCAGAAACTGAGCAAGGACAGCCATATATATGGTTGTGGATCCAAACCAGGACACCTTGGTTTACTTTTCCGGGAGGTCGAGCTACCTGATGTTAGAACCTCCAGGTTTTTACAATTTTTCTTAGCCATCCTTAAAATATGTAAACCAGGTCAAGGGGATGAAGCTCCAGCTTCTTCAGAACTTTTGTAAGTACCCTGAGACCATGGGCAGTGTCGATTAGGAGCATAGCAGGTTCACTAGTCACTATAGAGATTGGCCAGCCGACTGGCCGAAGGTTCCTTGGGGTTGAGCTGAATACAATATTACTTATTATATAATGTTTTAAGAGTTGTGAGGCCAAAAGTACTTCTCCCAGACACGACAGATGGCGAACGCTCGAGGTCGACCCCTTGGATCTCGGCTTCAGAGATGTTTTATCACCGGCACCGGATGACCGGCCCTTTCTTTTCGGACACGACCGGACACGTCTGGTGCTTGCAGCTCAGGACGGTGCTCATCGCGCTGGCGGAGATGTCCCGGCAGCGCTTCGCGCTGCGCGCGGAGACCACGAGGCGCGACACGGCCGCGTTGTCTTAGCCGCTGGACTTCGGAGGAGCCGAAGGAGGGTCACATGGGGTCACCATCGGTCACCATTCAGGCTACCCTAAGTTACACTTATCTTATCACTTAATAGATCTAACTACATTTTGACTGAAGGTTTGGGGAAAAAGCCTTCCGAATCTTGTCGTCCATTGGATGCGGGATTGCTGGAAACAGGTATGGCAACACAGAGGCTGCTGGGCTGCTTACACGACTTATTGCACTGCATGGTTTTGCAGCACTTTGGACTGTATATGGTCGACAAATAACACATAACACACATATCACAAATCAATTGTTAGACAGCAATATATTCATGAATTTAATATGCAGAATACATTCTGGAGATGAATTTTCCGAGAAACATCTAGTGGTTTCCATTGGTTTCCACTTTTCAGTGGTTTTAGTATTTATATATATATATATGTTTTAGTGGTTTCCATTGTTTCGGCAGGCCAGCGATCCACCGTTCCACTTGGATTCCACCATTTGGAAATACTGCTCCACGACTTTTGTGGATTTGCGGGTTGTATGTGTTGTTTAATGGGATGTTGATGTTTTGTTTGCGTTCTTTTGCGTGCGTTTTTGCGGGTAAAGTCGGTAGTTTTTGCATGTTGATTTCCCAAGCGCCAACGTGAGCTTGAGCGGTCTCCGCTTCGCAGGGAGCTCTTGGGCACCGACGCGAGCTATTGGACCGTGACCTTGAACCGCCCGTGCGACCAGAGGTTGGCTCTCGCGAAAAACACCGGCGGGTGTGGGTGGGGAAGAGATGCAACTGGAGCATGGCATTTTTCAGCGACATGTGCCGAGTCGGGTTGTGGACGCAAGACCGAAAGAGCAGTCATGGAGCCGACAGCTGGCTTCGGGTTTCATGAGAGTTTTTGAAGATTCTTGACAGTTTGTTTTGACATGTTATATAAGACATTTATTTCAACATTGTTGACAAGAAGTGGTGTTTTTTGGTTGAGGATGAGCATGGGCCAGCCTGCTTGAGCTAGCAGCCAGCAGGCTTTCCGGGTATCAAGGATCAGCCTCGGGCCGCTCCAGAGCCTTTGAAAGGGGAACTGGATGTTCTCGGATGAGTCTTCCAATTTGAGGGATTTTTCCTTGCATGCTGCTTCGTGCCAAGTGTGGACGATATATATATATATATATTGTCATTGGATATCCTCTACCCTGGGATTGTTGAGTTTCACTTGCTAAGGCTTCCACTAAATACTTGGGGACGGACCAGGGACCACCTTCCATCACCATCACCTGGGCTTCCCAGACGAAGTTCGGCCGCGCCAAGCGGCCGAAGCGACTTGGCGATCGGCTCCAGGCTGGGCCTTGACTTGGATCTTCTGGATCCAGACCCTCGGACGCAGTGTTTTCGGATGGTTCCCTGCTATTCCTTGGTTTGAGACTCGTGGATCTGAAGAATCTGAAGGGCGCCCATGTGGGCTGTTGTGGGTCATGGCACCAGGAGACCGGTTCGGTGTCGGTCGTGGGGGCTCCAGGTTGAACAACACCTGGCCTTCGCCAAAAACCGGGCGGCCCGGCTGATCGTGCCAAACACCAAAGCGGACTGATCGGACCCGCTGCCACCAACCGCCACCAACCGGGATAACGCCCCACCGGCCAACTGCCCAACACTCCGAAGGTCCGGACCGAGTCCGTGACGTCCCGGTGAAGCCAACCGGCGACCTCAAGTGAAGCCAACGTTCGACTGTCCTCAGCCCTCCGCGGTGAATCGGTGCGGATCGCAGTTTGTCGGATCAACTCCTCCCCCCAGGTGATCCTCTCCCCATCCTCCCTCGCCGTGGCCGGTGACCTCCGAGGCGGTCTTACAGATCTGCCAGGTGCATGCAGACTCAGTGGCCGGGAGACCCGAGTCCGTCCGACCCGAGCACGGGTCTGCCATGGTCTCCCGCCAAACGACGTGAGGGCCGGTGTCGAAGTTTGAGGTCCTTATAGTACCAATGGACCAAGAGTGTCCTTTTTCAATCTTTTTCACATACGCATGTGAGCTATTCTTTGGCACTCCCAGACTCCTCCCGGCCTTCCTGGGTTGATGTTGTGGAGGTCGTGATGTCCGGTTTTGGTCTCCTGCTTTGCTTGAGCACTCCCGCTTTGCACTGCTGAGTTCACCAACCCCCAACGAGCCAATTCCCAACGGAGCTGAATGAACACCCCGAAAAGAAGATGAGGCCACGGCCGTTGCAGGCGATTTCGCACACGAGACAACCATGGCTTCCGCCCAAAACGAGGTGGATCGCTACAATCAGACAGCGGCCCCAGAGAGGCGGATACAGGCGAGACGGGGAGACAGACAGACGTTAGCCATCAGACGGGGTGTTTTGGGCACCCCAAACACGGCCAAAAGTCTCAACGAATTGATTGTGCACTGGAGGTCCCCACGAAATAGATGGCGGGCGGTCGTGGCAGAATCTCACATCCGTTCATGCGGTTCATGTTGGGGTTCTAAGACTATTATGACGGTTGCTATATCAATGATGTTGAGACTGATTTGGAACTGCAGCCTTCCCGCTGGATGGGGACGAGGATTGTAAACTGAGCTTGTCCCACTTTTCAGACTCACATCTGATGGGAGCCTTGTCCAAGAGCAGTCTCTTGGGTCTGAGTAAGAGCTGGTACCATGTCAATCTTGCAGTTGCCAAGTCAATCGCAATTGCTACCAGTTTTTTTTTTTTTCAGAGAGGGTATGTCAATTTGTCCATGACTCGCCTTTTGACTGTCAATACGTTAGGTAACCATGAAACAATGCTTTCGGAGCTTGACGCCTCAAGACATATAGAGATGTAGCTGAGCACAGGATCTCTGCAGGTACCAATGTGTTGGGGTATATAGACATTGACGGGGCTCTCAGACAAGATGTTTCAAGACTTTTACTGTCTTGGCCAGGAGTTGCAAAGGTTTCCAGCTTTGAAGCCCCACCGAGTGAGTATTGTCGGCTTTTTTCACCGTTCGGGAAGCTCTGAAAAAGACACGTCCAGGACTCAAAAAAAAGGACTCCAGGAGTCCCACCATAGTGATCCTTGTACTGTGATCTGATCGAACATGAATGAAACAGATTGGCATCACAGCGCTGCTGCACGCGTGAGGAACCCGAAGAACATGTGAAACGACGTGGAAAAGCCAGGGCTTTTTCCGCGTGAATCCCATGATTCGTTGATGGAACCACTGGTTGCCATATGGTTACCTACTATGTTGTACCAATAAGGGACTGGATCCACGTGGGAACTAGACCATCCGTGTGTGTGTGGAGGCGGGGGACTTGATCGTGAAGGTCAATCGTGCCAGTGGTCAGGCGGGACGGACGGACGTTTTTTGTGTTGGGGTAGAGGGTCAACTGGTTGACGGATAGGTCACAAGGGAGGTCAACTGAGGTCAAGGGTTTTGGTGGTCAACTGAGGTCAACTAGGGGAGGTCAACTGAGGTCAAGGTTGTGGTCAACCTATATACACTCCCGAAAACTCACATAGACCCGGGTCCGTCCTGGCTCCCTGGGTCCGAGTGTTTTCCTCTACCAACCATGTTAGTCTTCCAGGGTCCATGGGATCGTCTTCCAGGGTTACCAGACGTTTGGAGCGAGCCGAGTGATTTTCACCCCACCGCCATACATCACATGGAAAAAGGATACACCATGGTTCCGGTGATACATCGGTTTGTAACGGTTGAACCGTCAAACCTGGATGATGGGATGTCCTCTATGGGTTTCTCAATCTGATTTGTAGAGCCTTCTAGACCTGAGGTGTTCTTTTCTTCCAGGGCCGTGGGAGGGGGTTCTTGGCGACATGAAGTGGACCCACCGACCTGCGAAATGGGTTGATCTTGATCTTTGAAAGAGGAACTGACTTTGTGCATATAGACTTTGCCATGCTCTCAGTCAACTCATACATATCAGAGACCCATTCTCAGCAGCCATGGCACTATGGATGTCCAAAAACCTGCATCCGAAGCGGCCACCAAAGCGACCACCAAGCCAGTACCTGGCTGCAAGAATTGGACATCTCTTCTATCTATTCTCAATCTATCATCTATTCTATCATCTATCCATAATGCCAAACATGTCATGATGACAAGCATGGCTGCTTTGGATCGACACACATCCAGCCACACTCACTGCGACGCCCCACGAATGTGTCTAGGCCTCGGACATGGCCGACCTCCTGCAATCGTGGCTTGGGCGAGTGAGACGTTGTCGTCGACAAGGTGATTGTGTAGGGTTTTCCCTCCATGCTACAGGGAGGAAGATGTTGACTTTTTTCAACATGCTTCAGGTGTTAAGTGTTGGATGCTGTTTATTCATGAGTGGCCTCAGATACGGAAGGATTGAGTGAAGGAAGGAAGGAAGGAAGGTAGGTAGGTAGGTCAAAGAAACTGTGAGGCAACCTTTGCAGGCAGCTTTGCCTTTTTGTTCTTTGCTCCTCTGCAAATGTTTTTTGTGCTCAAATGCAGCTTCGGGATTGCAAGTGTGCAAAGAAGTAGCAGCTGCAGTTCAGATTATAAAAGCATGATTAAGCCACATTTCATCAATTCCGAGTTAACCTCAGCGGCCTAGGCTTTGTAGAGTAGGACACATTCAACATGGATGAATGACAACGACCAGATGCTCATTCATGTCAACCACCGAGTCACAGATTTCAATGCGCGTCCCCCAAGTTACCAAGTCGGTTTGAACGATCAAATTCTGATGTTTGCCAAAAGGCATGACACTCTCTTCATCACCCACGCAAAGGCCTCAGCAGACGCTGACTCTCCTGCTGCAGCGCCCCCCGTGGCGGACCTTGTCCCTGAGCGATGCCGAGGTCGAGGTGACAGCGCTGCGGGTCGGAGATGAAGCGGTTGGACAACAGTTGACTCATGACATGGCCGTGGGTCGGTACTTGTTTTGTTGGGGTTTTGAAAGACGCAGTGAATCCGGTACCGATGCATGTAACGCAAGTCGGTTGGTCAGAACCCAGGTTGCAAGGGTCGGTTTGGGTTCATGGTCAGCATGTTCAATCCAATGGGATTCGCCATGATTCTCCGCCTTCGTGGGCAACGACGCGTCACCTGCAACAAGTTGGTCCGCCGAGGCAACGGCCGTCCGAACCGTCCAGTGGCGAACGTGAATCAAGCAGACTTGGAATTGTAGGGAACATTTGTATCTCCAGTCTCCAGTATTAGTAAAAGTGCCCAATTTTGATACGCAACTTTGCTATAAGTTCAATGATTTGTTGCAGCATGTCTTTGCCGTTGATTATCACCTGGTCCAAGCCTGGTCGGATCGGTTCAGGGGTGTCAGCTCGGACATCTGCCAGGAGCTTCGCTCTGCCTTTACCTCCATGCCACAGAGTGTGTCTCTGTATTCCACTTTGACGATCCCCAGCATAGGGCTCAGGCTCGAACCGGCAACGTTCACGTGACTTCACCGCGCCACGGGGGGTCGAACCGGGCGGAGAACATGGTGAAGCTCACGTGGGTGGGTGGTTTGGTGGGACAGACATGATGCGCATGTGAGTGGAGTGGATGGGCACCCTGACTCACACGTCATAGCTTGAGATAGTAAAGAGATCCTTGAAACAGATGAACCTGCTGAGAGGAGATTCGCAGGACTCCCTTTCGGGTGAAACTGGTGGTTTCTTGACAGATATTGGCATGAGTTGCAAACCCACAAGTAAGTGTGCATGTTTGATCATGCTGGTATGATGTTTGACGGTTGGCTCTAGTAGATGGAAGCAGCAAGCTGGCAGCTGGAACCTTTTTGCAGAACCTCCTTTGCATTTCTCCTCATATTGACAGACCAGCTGGCGGTTTCGGAAGAGGGGGTACCTATTCCAAACCACCTACCAAACCCCAATGCACGATGGCTCCGATGGGGTCTGCCTTGCTCATCGAACCTTCTACAGGTTTTGCCCTGCAAGGTGAAGTTGGGGACAACATGTTTAGGGCTCCGCCGGATGCGCAAATGATGCATCATGGACCAGCATCCTCACCCGAGACACCTCCAAAAACGGAGATGAAGTCTCTTTAAATTGATGGGATCCAGATTTGAACCGGGTGGAAATGCATGTGCGTAGCGAGGGTCCCCAGCGTCACACCTTCCAATGAAGACCAACAAAGGAAGTTGAAACATTACTTCTGTAATAGTCATAGTCTATCAGTGAAACATATAGTGAAAGCGTCAACTCAACGAATCAACTTGACCATTTTTTGAATCCAAATCCTTTGACAACTTGTTTCTAGTAGCGATGCACCTTGTTACTAGTAGCGATGCCAATGGCTCCTAGCAGCTCCTGGCTCCTAGTAGCAATGCCCTTTGTTACTAGTAGCGATGCATAGCGGCATAGCGATGCCCTTGTTGGTGGTAGCTCCTCAATTGTTACTATTAGTAATGCCAGGAGCTACGTTTCACGTCGCTTCCTGCTACGATCGGCGTGCGATCCCCCCGCCGGCGTGTCTCTCGCACCTCCGCCAGGCGCCACGATCGGCTCATGGCCGTGGACGGCGCCCTCGGGGACCTCCAGGGCGCCTGGCGCAGCGCGCTGAAAGGCGCGCGTGGACGGCGCCGGGGTCAAGCAGTGCGGAGGACGGCGGAGGAGGGTGGAGGGGCAGGTACTTGTAGGCCGCGCAGTCAGAACAGAAAGAAAAAAGAGAAAGAGAAAAACAGATAGAGTCAGAACAGGTAGCCTACGAAAAAAGAAAGATAGAGAAAGGACAACGGCATCAGACAAGAGTCATTTGTTGTCATGCTCTCATTGGTAGGTTTTTTTTGTACTGCTTTGGAGGAGGCTTTGGAATCGTGCACACAGAGATTGAGAGTTTGGAAAGACCAATGTTGGTTTTGCAGTCCCCATGTCTATTGATGCCCTCTTCGAGATTGACACTGTGCCCACCACCTTAACTATATATTCAATATGCCCCTGTCTGTGTGTCCTGTTCATGATCTTGATATAGAGTCAGCATGAGTCCCCCCCAAATGCCTAAAGACTCATCTAATCAAACCATATCAAACCGACCACTGGCCGAGAGTTCTCCACTCCTTCGCCATCCACAGCCCAGTAACTGGCTCCTTCGGTGCGGCCCAGGTGGGAAGCCCTTCGAAGTGAGCATCCTACGCTGCGGCCCCGACGAGACCTGAAAAAGCGGGCGGCCCACGGTGGGATCGATCGGGCAGCCACTGGGGGCGAAGCAAGGCCGCGTTTGGAGGTTGTAAAGGTGGAACCCCCAAGCATACTCGACTTTGGTCTGAAGGGTTCAAGGGAGGAGAGGAGCATGAGGAGCCAGGCAGGATTGTAAATGTGCACTTTTCTTATGGATTGATCATACAGTACACGGAAGCTGAACCACGCCAAATCATGCCGATGTCCCCCGTTTATGAGGTGCACCTGGGTGTTGGTGTTAGCGTACACCAACCGTTTGACCAAGTTGTTCAATGATTCTTTAATGCTCAAGCAAGAAGCGATGAGTCAACATGGGCAGCGGCACATGTCGATCAGCGGGCGCAACATGCTGCTGGGTCAAACCGGGTGGTCACTGTAATCATGCTCCGACTCCCAGCTGATTCATCCACACAGCAGAACGGCTTTGATAGAGATCTGGACAGCATCTGACGGCCATTGTTTCCGTGCTGAGCCTGGCTGCCGGCACCACTTCACCAGTTGAACTTCCAATGTCAACAATATACATTCTCGGGATGTCGCATTGGCAAAACTTACAACACGCTTCAAGACATTTCAAGACTAGAGTCGCTTCAAGATGAGGCTCGACTTTCAGGGATGTCCCTTTTTTATGGAATGTCGTGGATACTCTGAACATCTCTGGATGCAATTGCTGGGTCCCAGCTCCAAACTCCCCAATTTCAGGCCACCAACAATCCTCACCAAGCGCTTTGCTCAAAAGAAAGCCCACATCCACCCCCAAGAGACTGCTCCAAACGCTCGGTCCCCACGCTCCTCGTCCATTCTGCTTTGCTCCCCACGCTCCGTCACCGCGCCGCGGTGACGCTCCGTCGGCTGACCGACTCCTCGTCGCGGGACGGAGCGCCATGAAGCGACGGGTGAATAACTTGGCGTCCTCGACCGCGAAGAAGAGGGCCTGGAGGGAAGAGCCCGCCGAAGAGGAGGCGGTGGCGGTGTGGTTGTCGGTCGGTCTGTTCTAGGGCCTGGGATGGCCTGGGTAGGTAATTAGGTGTGATATTGAAAAGAGAAGGTAGAAAGATGGACAACATCTGATTTATTTCGACATCTGATTTTAAGACATCAAAAAACCAGTGTTCCGTTTGGTTTTTAGAGGCCTTCGACTGGGCCACGGCCACTGGCCGTCGAGGACCTGGACGTGACCGGGCCACATGTGACCTGTGACGTCACTGCTCCACCAGGCGGGCGACCTACCAGGTGGCCCGCTGCCCGACAGCGACGACGAGAAGCCGCCGCCGCCGAAGGAGCGAAGGGACCAAAGGGGGAGTCCGGTCGGCAAAGGCGACCAAAGGGGAGAAAGGCTGGGACGACGTCAAGAGTATATATTATATATTGAATATATATATATATATAATATAACAAAATATATATAATATATAATATAATATATATATATAATATATATATAAAATATGCCTGGATTGATATGCCTGCCTTTATATTCTTTTTTTTTTTTTAATTCATACCGTATACCTACTAATTCTCATGGACGTTCAGAGAAGGAGGCTCAAATGTTTTACAAAGTTGCGAGCGTGTGCCTACCGGAATCCCAGACTAATGAATATAGGACTCCAGTCTTGTGGCAATAGGCCTGAGATTTGAAATTTCTTGGGATTTCCTGAGGAAAGAAGGCCAGTTAAGACCCACCAACCCACAGTGTGTACTTTACACGCCAGGTTTTTTTGTGCCATGCGTGCTTGTCATTGTGGAGGCTAGCAACAAGCATACAGGCAGCATGTTTCAGGATGTCTCCTAACAAGCCCAGGTGATTTAGCAACTGACTCCAACCTGTGCTCATTGGGTTTGTCCTATGACCTGTGTGATCCTGTATGTAGCAGTCAGTAGACCATTATCACTAAATTATCAAAGCCTTTACTATATAACCATCGTCATCCACTGTTCGTGGTAATAACAATAGGATAGACGGAGACCCTCGTGCTCCACCCTCCACCACTGTGCTCCACGACTTCGTCTGGCACCACAGGACCCCCCTCCAGGAACACAGATCCGAACAGGCTCCCCCAATCCCGTCGTTTGGATGGAAGTGGCGGCTCCTTGGCGCTGAAAAACGGCCGAACACAGTGTTGTTTGGGGGGAGGACTGTGATGTTTGGATGGGTCGCGTTCAACGGTATATGTACGGCAGTTCTTGCGTGGGGAGGATTCACTGGAGGTTTTATTTGTAATAATGTATACCCTAGCCTTCATCGGCTTTTGTTTTAATAGCCTTTGTACAAAGGCTTTTGAATCCTTACCAACGGCTTTTCCTCAGGTCCAACGGCTTTTGTGGCTCATGTCCGTGAGGACTTACGTGTATTGGGACCAGTGCAAAGGACATAAGTGGATATGATTGATAAGCATCGCATGCCAAACACGTTAAAACATGTTGAACACCCAAGATAGTTCTTTTAGTGTCTGCGCGGCCACTGCGCGACTGGTGCGGGCCCATGTATTTGGAGCAACCGTGGGAGCGAGCTGATGATAGCTGATGTGACTCAATTGCAATGGAAAACTACGCAGGTTTCCCTTAGAATGAACCTGTTCACTTCTCAGGTGATAGACGGCGGGGCATGCAAAAAGCATTGAGAAAGAGCCATTCCCTCAGTTTCTTCTTTTTCACCGGCCCATCTCCAAAGTTGGTCGGCCGATCTTTCAACGTGCCCAGGAGCTGCAGCCATTGATTCATCTTCAGATGATCAGGAGAACTATACTTCGTCTAGAGGCTGGAAGATGCACGAAACAAATCCAAACAGTGGTTCAAGAATTCAGGTAACTCTTATTTGCACTTTGGCTAGAACACTTTGCTACACGAAGGTTGCAGCTCAAGCATCTAAGTGCGACGTCGAAGGAGAACAGGCTAATCTATCACCATGAGCAATGACCCCTCAAAGGCCATTCTATGCCATTCTATCTAGTCAGACATCGCTGCTTCCAAGTGCCACGTCATGACCGTAGAGCACGGCAATGGTCCTGCAGAGCAGCTGGAAATCTTGAAGGAGTTTTTGGCTTTCAAATGGGGCTTGAAAGTTCTTCAAGCAGTAGGTCCCTGTCCAGGTCTCTTCAAAAAAAGATTGGCTTTTGTGAAAGGGTTTGCATTGAAATGCTATGCAAGGCAAAAGGCCAACAATTTACAAACAGCCTTAAGCCAATTGAGAAGGTGCCCCATACACAAAAGAATTATAGATTGACTCCTTGCTTGGTGGCTTTCAGGAGTTCTACAAGGACCTGATCACCCAGCCAGGATATTTGACAGAACAACGAAAACTTCTCAAAGTTCGACTTGGCAAGAGTGTCGACACACGGAAGGTCCAACCCCAAGAACAAAGTTTGTCTGGGTCTGTCCGGGATCTTAACCGCGGTGAGGTTCCAAAATTTTCTTTCTTGATCTTGGACAAGGATTCTATCGGTGAGGCTGAGGCTGCCAATCCAACCATGTGGAGATTGTTGCAGTCAACTCATTGTCTGCACTTTTGTCAAAGCTGGCAGGCCAAGCAAAACTGCGATTTTGCTTGCGCATATTTGGCTTTGTTTGCCAGCTCTCCGCCAACACAGAAGATAATGGAGGACTCCAGGGTATATCAATAACAGTTTGGATGTCAGTTGCACGAAGTTTGCTTACTAGCTGATGAACGGCAAGGAAGCCCTGACCTATATCAGCGTGACGTATCGGCTGAACCGTTGGGAGGAACGCTTCAAGCACCAGGCCTATGACCCAAACCACCCAACCCCTGAACATGTGCGCCTGGCTTCAGGCTTGGGCAGAAAGCGAAGCCAAGCTGCAGCGTGCCTTGGCTTCGTACTGCCACTACAGATTCCAGAGAAACCGTGGCACAAGGCAAGGTTGCTTTTGGAAAGTCATGTCATATGTAGCGCAATACCCGCCCAAAGTATTGAATCCCCGTCATGCAGACCTGGCAATAGCCACATGGAACTCATCAAGTCTGTCATCTGGCAAAGCTATGAGGAGCTTTGTTCATTTCTTGATTCGCACGTAGGTATTAATGAATATAAAGGTTTTTCCTTCATTCACTTGCTTCGTTCAAACAGGAGAGTGTCTTATTGCCAAATGGCAAAAGAAGAGCAACCCGTGGAAGAGGTAGATCGAACAATTCCAAATGGAACAAGGACAGGTATTGAGTAATCTTGTCCCAGTTTTCCTATCTAAACTATACATCACTTTTTCACACCGATGCTCTTGAGGAGGCCCGCGTGGAGAACCCTGTGGACACAGCTGAAACTCAGATGATGTACGAAACGCAGCCGGAAGCCCATCATTTTGCTGAGACTGTACCCAACACAGACTTAGAAAACCCAGCTGAAACCGGGGAAGGGGGCGAAGAAGAGACAGAAACCTGCGATGAATGTGAAGAGCCTGTCAAGTTGCATGAGTCAGAGGAAGGTTCCATCACACCGACGGAGCCAGATGACGACACACCGGGAGAGAATCTGCGGAAGGTGGAACGCAAGGATGAAGTTGAGGAGATAGAAAGCGATCATGAATCCAAAGGCACCTTTAAGGTGAGCCCCGCTTTCAATTTTCTTATTTGTCTCCAAACCATGCACCATTTGTGTTCAGCCAGGACCGTGCACCGCTGGCAGCTTTGCCGCCTGTCCCTGCTTCTTTGACAACTTCTGTGAACGAAGCAGTGAAAGCACTAGGGCTGAGAGAGCAGGAATCAAATGATCACGCAACGAAAGATGTTCTAGAGGCCCCTGTTCTATCATGGTCTTTTCAACATATACGTTTACGTTTGTTGACTGGTAGTTCGACACTGTTTGGCACAGAGTCGTTGCCGTCAAGGCACAGCGAAAGTTGAGGAAGATCGTAAAGGAGCAAGAAACGGAGGAGGACCTTGACAAGTTGTACGCGCAGGAGGTGGAGACTCAGGAAGGAAAAAGGGGTAGGGGGAGGGGAAGAGGAAGAGGCAGGGGAAGGGGCAAAGGAGGCAGGAAGGGGAAGGGGAAAGGCAAGGACGCTGTGGAGGAGGAGGAGGAGGAGGGGGGCAAAGATCCGCCAAAACCAGCTGCCGCCAACACCCCAAGCAAAGAAAGCCCGAGGCCAACCTTGCGCCGCACTATGTCCAAGAAGCGATCCCTGTTGAGGTCATGTTCCTCGTCAACCAAATCAAAATTCCGAAGGGTTCAAAGCGAGGCCATTTTGGGAGAAGGTGGGGATGAGGGTAAGCGTGAGGCTGATGCAAAAAAGGGGAAGCCTGCAGCTGGCACAATGCCAACTGCCGCCAAATCAAAAGCAGCAAAACAAAAAACGCCGAGCGAGCCAACCGACGCACAGCACGAGAGCCGCGAGCCAACCTCCAAATCGAAAGCAGCCAAACCAAAAGGAAAACAGGCTAGCCGTGAGTCAGTAAAAAAAACAGAAGCAAAGCCCAAGGATCCAGAACATGAAGCAGCTTCAGCCAGCATAAACACAAAAACATCAGCCAAAGAGCAAGAAGCAAACGCAAAGATGAAGGCTGCGCAGGATACTGATTCGATTTTTTTTGCTTTTTTTGCTGTGACAAAACATGTAGATATCAGAGATGGTGCCCCATAATTAAAGCGTTTTTTGTTTATGCAGGAGTCCAACTTTGCCATGATCCGAAAGGTTGCGCGGAAAGACCCGAGTCTAGCTATCCCATCAAACTTTGACCTTGAGGAGCAACAGTTCTACTCCTAGATTCACACTAGACTGACGACGATGTCATGCCAGGTAGTGAATTCAGTTGGGGCCCTATACCTAATACACTGCAGGTCTTTCACCATTTCGCCAGCGGACCACCTCAAGAAACCAAAGGGTGAGGAGCTCTCCAGGATTCTTGTCCGGCACCTTTCTCAGCCCTGGGGATGTTGTAGCGGGGTAGAGTAGCTATAGGGTTAAGTGTTTGGAAAGGCCTCGTTTCCCACACCAAGGCTGACCCAATCACGTTCTACACAGGGGACCTTTTATGTCTACAAAGTTCCTGACAGCCGTCTCGAGCCCATCAACAAGTATTGGGAAGAAAATATCACAGTCGGCGCCTCACAACTCGATAGAATAGAAGTTTTGTGCGTGTTGTGGCACTTATTTTGCAAGAGCTGAGAAAGATGAGTTGGGCAAAACTAAAACCAATTCTAGAAGTGATTCCTCAGGCCAACAACCAAATGGGAGTTAGCGTTGCTTGGAACAAATACGGTGGTGTTTGGAATGCGCCTTTGCCTCAGCTAGCACGAGTACAGCGCATAATATTCCTCTCTCTGGGTTCTCTCAACTTTGCAGGTGGCAGCTTAGCAAATGCGTCGCTGGCTGGGTTGCCGTGGAGGAGCCGGACCCGAGCAAGATATGAGATCGAGTCTGCAAAGGTTTTGTTTTTAACTGTGCGCCTAAGTAGCTGTGCACTCATAATTCTCGAAGATTGTATTGTATATATTAGCCGTTATACTAGCTAGACAGCATTACAGCGCAGCTGCATTGGCAATGAGTTTTGGCAGCTCTGACGCTGCAAGTTTAGAACCTCTAGATCGATGGTCTTTGACAAAACTGTGTGTCAATCATGTCATGTCGCAAAGACTTGTGAGGGCTTTGCGCTAGACGTACGCAACACACACCCTAGAAATGTGGTTCCTTGTCGCCGCTTCCTTTGAAGCAAAGATCGAACAAGCCAGCTGCCGAGCCCCGTCCCGAGCCGCCCAACATGGTTCGACGAACTCCACTGGGTTTCAGCAAACGTGAAATGGAGCTGCTAATTCTCCTGGGACTTCCCATGGTGGTGTTTCCCGACATTTAAATTAAAAAGAACAACTGAGTTATTTTATAGTCGCGGGCAATTCTCATTTGTTGCCTGCATTGAGGCTTCACTGTGTGGCATACGTGGAGCAAATCACCTCTGCTGCCCAATCCAAACGGGTCCTTACCCAAGCTAGTCTGCCACTAGATCTTTGCCCTAGCTAGTTTCACTCTGACCAAAATAAGGATTTGTCTTTGGTGGACTGCTTTGCTGGACAAGCTGCACTCTCGACCGCCTTCCGCTTGCACCCCAGCAGAGCCTGTGCCAGCTCAGTGATTCAGAAATGC